AAGGAAAGGAAAGGTAGATAGGCCAGCGGCTGGACCCCGTATGGCCAACTACAGTTTGAGTCCCAGACCCAGTGGCCTGAAAATCATGCTAGTCACGTGTGCCTACATGCCTGAAATCCCAAGAGGAGACTGAAGGAGAAGAACTGCAATGTGGTCATGCCCCCAGAAGGTGAGTTCTCACTTTCTCTCTCTCTCTTTCTCTCTCTCTCTTTCTGTCTCTCTCTGGCAAGTGCATGCACCCTACAGCTGTTTTTGCTTTAATAAATCTAATAAATAAATAAAATTCAAAAGAAAGAAAAAAGACAGAGAGAGAGAGGACAATGAATGGAGAATTGAAGGGTGACGAAGAGTTAGTTAGGCAAAGGGAATGAGAAGAGAACATTCCAGACAGAGGAAATGGTGTCAGGGACCATGGTATATTCTAGAGGCTGCTACATGGCTAGTGTGGCTAGAAGAGGAAGACGAATTAAAGGAAAGCAGCAGGAGGTAAAGGAGCAAACCTAGGGACATGCCATGGAAGCATAGGGAGAAAGTGTTGCCAAAGGAAGACATGGACACCAGAGTCAAATACTGCTGAGTTCAGTAATATGAGAACTGAGAAATGTCCCCTGGATTTCACAACATGTAGGTCATTGCTGAGCACTCTGTACAATGGGCTTGAAGCCAGAATGGAACAGTCTGAGAGTGAGAGGAAGGTGAGAGACTGGCGGGAGCAAGAGCATTGGTCAGGAATTGCACTAGGCCACATGTAACAGAAACTTATGACAGTAACTTAGCTATACAGGGTACTTTTCTCTCATAAGAATGACAAGGAATGACAGTTCAGGCTGGTGCAGTGGCCCCAAGATGCTGTCTGTGTTCTAGAATCCTCTGTTTTTGCTAACATCCTCAGTTTGTGGCTTTTTTTTTTTTTAAGAGATTTTCTATATAGGGCGTGTGCACTCACCAGACAGAGAGAGACAGAGAGACAGAAAGCGAGAAATCACCCCCCAGGGGGGATGGCCATGCCACAATCCCTTCTCCATTCTCCTCTTGAGATCTTGGGCACGCACGCACACGCGCCTAGCGTGAGTTTTAAGCTATCGGGTCTGGGATGCGAACTGCGGTCGACTACATGGGAGTCCAGCGACATAGCCATTCCGCTAACTGCTGGTCCCCTCAGTTAGTGGCTTTTATGATGATGATGATAATAATAACTGCAAGAGGACTGTCAAACTCAAGTCAATGTTGCAGCTAGGAAGAAGGTAGAAACAATAAGGGGAAAGGGAGAGTGCTTATATCAGGAAAGCAAAGATCAGCTATAAATTCCCAGCTCACTTCAGTTTATATGGTATTGGCCAAGAGTGTGTCACATGGCCACTTCTAGCTACAAGGAGACAAGGAATTGCAGCTTTTCATCTGGACCCATGGCTGCTCCCCCAATCAATCAGTTTCCATGAGGAAGAAGGGAAGATGAATACTGGGAAGGCAACCACAGCAGGTACACAGTAAAAACAAATTACATTCAAAAAGTGTGTCCAGGGACCAGCAGATGTCTTAAGGATTATGTCACTGGACTCCCACATGGCTGACTGGTTTGAGTCCCAGACTCTGTGGTTTGAAAATCATGCTGGGTGCATGTGCATGTGTGCCCAAGATCTTGGGAGAAGAATGAAGGAGAAGCAATTGTAGAATGGCCATTCCCCCTGGGGAGTGATTTCTCACTTTCCCTCTCACTGCCTCTGTTTCTCTCTCTCTCTCTGGCAAGCACACATGCCTTAAGACAAAAAAAAAAAAAAGAAACCTTAAAAACAC